AGTAAACACCACATTTTCCTGGTATGTGCTAGGTTGCTCTTGGTTCCTTGTATCCTCCCACATGGATTAACTCCTCATGTACTCGTCTCCTCCCTTGCAGGATCACAGCCTCCGTGTCCTTAGCTTGCAGCACTTTGCACCAGCTCTTACTCCCGCTTTGTCACAAATGTGGTTTTTTGCTCTTTTTCTCCCCCTCCGCCGCCGCGTCGGCTTGCGAGGTGCCGCGGTAGCCGCTCGTGTGCCGCGTCTTGCTCTCGGGACGCTGCGCTGTGCTTGGAATCACAGCCTGAGAGAGCTGAAAAACGCAAAAATAGCTTTGTTCTCCACAGAGAGTGACCTGTAAGAGTTAGGGACTGTATAAATTGGTGTAAGAGTCACCCCAAAAAGGTCGTTAAGCTCCGCATATGTATCCAGACAGACATTATTTGACTTTTCCAGGTTAAAAACGCAGATTGCTCAAACCTTTTAGATTCTATGTGCTTCTCAGTGAGTTAACAGGTGTCTGACCTGCCTGAGACAGAGGTGAAAGTGGTCTGATTAACAGAAGAAATAGGAGGAAGAAAACAGGGAAGTGAGTTTGTTTGGGTTTAAAACGAGCATCTTAGAAGAGCAGCAGCACAAAAAGCCGGTGGAATTGCATTGGATTTGTGCACAGACTGGAAGAGCACAAGAGATTTCTGCACCAGCTTGCTGCAGCAGGGAAGGAAGAAGGGACGACTCGGGGAAGCACCGTGAATACCAAATCAGACCTGGAAAATGTCCCCAGCAGTGTGGGAGTGACCTAGGCAGCCTGATCTCCGCAGAACCGACAGCGCGCTCCGGTTTTGTGACCTGTCTCTCCCTGTCGTCACGCTTCAGATAATTTTCGGTCGTAATCGGGCGCTGCAAGATTGAACCTGGAGCGTTCTTGTCGCGAATGAAAAATGGCTGGGGGAAGGCAGGGCCGCGGGAAAGCGGGGGGAGCCCCCTCCCTCCCCGACCTGGGCACGGTGTCGCGCAGATGCTCGACGACGCTTTCTGCTGCCCTTTAATAATGCAGCAAAGCTTTGCGGAAAGACGACAAGAAATCAGCCTTTCATTATTCCCAGGGCTGCTGCTGAGTCCCCGCCGCGTCCTGGCGCTGGAGGAGGAGTGCCACCCCGCGGCGGTGTGTGACACCCGGGTCCGAGCCCCAAGAAATTAATTCAGTTTTCCACTAGCACACGTTTGGCCGCCGGAGCTACTGCAGCGTGCTTTGCTAATCCTTCAGGAACAAACTGTTTAGGGACGAGACCAGCCCTATAAATCAGCCTTAATGTTTTATATTTTGTTTTTTCTTTCCCCCTCCACCCGTCTGAAGCTGGTGGAGAGGGCTGTGCTCTGTGCAACTGCACCAGCGCCGGTGATTTTCGGTGGGAGGTTTCAGGGCTCTGTTCCTGGTTTCAAAAGCAGAATTCTTGCTATATATTAAAAGCTCTCATTCTTTTCTTCCCTCTGCCATCCCACCCCCCATGTCCCTCCCTGAATCCTACCAGACGTGTTTCTATTTCCAGCAAGAGTCACTCAGCACAGGTTGTTAGAGGAGGAGAGAGGCTTTTTCCCTCTTCTTGTCAAAATGGGAGAGCAGCTGCTGGCACAGGAGCAGCACTGCCCCTCGTGATGCTTTTTCTCCAGCACAGCCTCCTCTTACGCTTCGTCTCTTCAGAAGCAGCCGTGCAGCTCGTACGCTGAGTTTATCCCCTGCAAAACCAGGAGGTTCGTAACGTCACCTTTAGGAAAATGCCGACCAGGGAACACGTCGCTGTGCAGCGAGACGCTAACGAAGGGCTCGTGAAGTGACACCTCCCGAACGTGGGGGCGGACGGCAGTGAAAGGCTTTGGGGGGCAGTTTGGGGTTGACTTGTTTATTTTGAGGTGCAGTTTTATATCAGCACAGCTTGGGCAGTTCTGAGGAAGCATCTGCAGAAATGACTGGAAGCAGACGGGTGCAGGCTTGGATCCAAGCGTGTGTTCTCATACCCACCAGCAACAAACCCGGCTCTACGTGGAGTGCAAAAGTAGCCAGAAAGCGGCTTTAGGTGTAACGTTTTCTTGTTCCTCAAGTGCTCGACTAGAGGTAAAGCTTTGCGTGATGGTGGTTTATGAAAACCTGAGCAAAAGCTGAAATGTGAGAAATGGTTAAATGCCTGGGTGGCTGCTCTTGCTCAAAATCAGTGCCCCTAATTCCTTATCACTCAACTCCTCCAGCTGTGCGTCCAGCTGTGTGTGCCCGTGTCGCGTGCTGACAGCATCCCTCTGCCGCTCGCAGGGATGGCTGCCCGAGGTGTTGGCAAGTGGCTGCATTGATACCCAATTCATTGATTCCTCCTGGTTGTCCGGTATCTAAGACTTGTAGCCACGACCCTGGTGTTACCCTCACTGCTCATGTGTTCAAGGTGCTCCACGTTGCCTTTTCTGTGCTGGTAGCACTAATTACATTCCCTGACAGAGGAGAGGGCACGTCCTTGAGGGGGAGGAATGCTCCCCTCATGCGCATCGGGGCTGGGGGCAAGGACTTGCCTTCTGATGAGCATTTCCCCCCATTTCTGAGCCACCAGGCCCTGTGGTGACGGGAGGGAGGGACAGCCCCAGCTCTGCCTGGGTGTGTGGAGCTGATGGGCCTCCTGGGCCAGCTGGAGCAGGAGCTGCCGCCCGCCAGCGCCTGATGCTCGCTGCCACAAACACTGTCCTGAAAGCTTTCTCGATTGAATAATTGATGCCTCTTGAGCCTCAAGAGGTGCCCTAATTGCAAAACTGGTAGCACATGCTACGTTATTTTTATTCTACTTTTAAATAAGGTTCCAAATCTCCTTGTGCAAGTAGTGTAGCTGGGGCTTCCTGTGGGTGAGGGACACCTGTCC